TGTTTCACAATTGGCCAATAATAACGTGTTATTCAATTTCATGTGACGACCAATCACGAGAAAGTTATCCTATATGGTATATCGTCAGACTGTATTAAAAATGTAACCTTTGTATCACCTTATATACATGGAAATTAAGTTCACTGATACTCAAAAATAGGATAGTCGCTCTTGAACATTCCAAACTTTAATTTGTGCATATAATACTGATACCGTTTTTTCTAGATCTATAGGGGATAACTTGCCTTGATTAGTCAATTACATGGATAACTTTTATTATTAAGAAAATATATATAGTTATATTTAATGCATTAAGTACGTACGTATTAAAACTTCTTAAGTACGTACGTACGTAAGTAGCTTAGTATTTTGTTTCTTTTAACAAGTCAAATGTCTTTGGTACATAATATGGTTAATTAATATTAAAGTAGTGCATTGACTAGAATCCCAAGGGTAATTAGTATCCGGGTATTTTTGCAATGGCATTAATTCATCTTAGAATGGAGATACTCACAGGCAGTGAGTATTATTGTAATTTTTGATGGTCCAATCCTGGCAATGTTTCATCAATTTTCTGCACAAATGTCCAAGCATTTCCAAACTTCTATAATTAATTTCTTTAAAGCAAATTAGAATCGATTATCTTAGAAAATTTTGAATAAGTTTAATTTAATTAAATTTTTTTTTTTTTTTCAAAATGTCCGAGATATCCGGTGATTAGGGATTGAAACCGCCTAAAATTTTTCTTAATCGTTTAACCGTTTAACCGTTTAATTTGGCCGGCATTAAGATAATTCCGGCCTACGACCAACATAATTCTGCCCGGAATTATGGACAATTTTTAAACGGTTAAACGGTTCCAATCCCTACTGGTGATAAACTGCTCACAGGTATTTTACTTGGGCTTTTTTAGTCAGCGCACAAACAGTAATACATAAGATAGAATTCTTTTGCACACATAACAAGTCATTCTTTAACGTAAATAAATTTAGGTACCCGAGTGATTTAATTGAATTACCCAATCAGAAAGAAGCTAGTCTGTATAGACGATCATACTCTGAATTTAGATAAGCATTATTAGATTAAATATAAATTGACTAAATAAAGTTAAATTGAAATAACTTTTTAGTCTCCGGCGTAACTTGTAATATTTGTAATGGTACTACTCTTTATCCCTGATATATCGACCATGCCGATGCTGCAAAAGGTTATGTTTGTCACACATACGTGATGAATTTAGACATAGTAATTTATCTCATGAGAATAATCATATCGGTGTGTGTACGCGATGTAAAAAAGGGGTACTACAATTATATAAAGAGTCCGTAATGCTGTCAGGAAAAAATTACTGCTTTGCCCAAAGTGAAGCCGTTTTTTGGAATTTTATGACTACCTTTATTATATGAATATGATGAAAACGCTTCGTTCTATAATTTTACTTTATACTCTGGTTCTCTTTGGTTTCAATGTCAGTCCAACTGTTTCTGATTGCTTAAATGCATTCGACCCTTCAGCAGACTATTACCCTATAGAGCAACAGATTCAGCCTTGTAAGAACTATCATTTTTACGATTCATTAAATGCATAACTTTTGTATTAAAAATTATCACTTTTTTTTTAATAATAGCAAAAGATGCTGGCTTTACGGTTTCTTATCGAAAATATTATAAAATTGTTAATAATACACGAACAAATGAGGTTTTTATTCTTTATTGCAGCGCTTCTGTACCAATTGTCTCTGATATACCCAATGCAAAATATTTCCAAGTACCGGTAAAAAATGTTGCAAGTTTAGATCTACCTACTGTTACGTTTTTGGAGGTACTTTTCTCTGAATTTCTTAAATTTATGAATTTTTTTTACATTCAATGATAAACTAATATATGTGTATTATATATTCTTTATTAAAGTTGATGAATGTTCATTCTTCATTAAAATATGTCAACAATACTTTGAATATTACTTCTCCTTGTCTACAGAAGAATATAGCTGATAATACCCTTCAAAATTTCAACTGGAGTGTTACAAATGTTGATATCGTTTTTTTGGACGCTACGCAGACAAATAATAATACTAATAACACAGTAATCGTAAATTTAGGTGACGATATTACACCACTTCAGGTAATATCATAATATAAAAAAAAATTTTTTTATGCTCGATTAATATATTTTTTTTATTAACTTGATGTTCTGACATTCATTGTGTAGAAATTAGAATGGATCAAATTCTTTTCACTTTTCTTTGATAAGGAAGCTGCCGTTAATCGTACAATAGATCAATTACTCTACGTTTACGGATGTGATTCCAATAATCTTATTAATATACCCATTGCTAATAGAAAGAAAATCGCTTGGGTATCTTTTGATTCAAAGGTGTTTGAAGTGAAACATGACACATATCACGTCACATTAATAAAGGATGCTGGTTGGTTAATTTTTATATATAGGATGGTTAAAAACTTTTATTATACACTTTATTAATTTTTTTTTTCTACTTTGTTTAGGTGCTTATCCGCTTGTTAGTCCATCCAGCTCTATTGTCAATTCAACTGATGAACTGCATTCGATCATTAATAATGCTACCATTGTCATTGATGAATCTCCATATATTGCTAGTTTTGTTGCCTGGCAACACTCTTTTGGTTATTATCCAGAACAAAACAGTAGAGATATTCCTGATTTTATCACTCACAGACGTGTATATCGTGTGAATAGATTTGTGAATCATGATGGATATTTTGACTGGTCTGAAAGTGCCGCTGCTCGTCCTGATATTGCTTTAAAAGATTTGATTGCAATTCAGTATCCAACATATGAACCTTCTTATGACACAAGGTGGCTCCATCAATTTAGTGATCCTTCAACTGTCTTAACTTCAAATAATTGTATCGATCCAAATCAACCTCAGAGCTTTTTAACTTGTAGTGCCAAAAACTTTACTGGCGATTCTCCTATAGGTGATGGTTCTAATAACAAAGGCAAATCTGATAGTGCTAGAAAATTATCTCCTTTGGCCGAAACATTGATTATTACATTTAGCATTCTTGCCGGTTTGGCTGGATTTGGCGTTGGTACTTGGTTGGTCCTTATCGCTAGAAGGAAACATCAAGAAAGATTTATAGAATTAAAAGATGAACCTGAAGTTCAAATGTCTAATGTCGATGAATCCACAAAAACTTCTGTATAATTCCCTAAGTTACCTGTTATGATTGTATAAGAAAAAAAAAAAAAGTCTTTTATTCAATTTGTTATGATCCTGTCTATTAATTTTGTAATACTGTAACATTAGATGTATGTATTTGTAGTTTTTCTTTTTTTTATATTGATTCTTTCATGAGATTCGTAATGACATTTCATGATTTTAAAGGCATCTAATAAAGTGTCTATGTGTATATGTATTTGTTAATATCTAATACATATTACACGCATTGTTTAGAATTTGTAATCATAGTGATCATAGTGGTGATTATTAAAGACTTTTATTTTTTATTCTAGAAACTCAAATGTTTTTAGATTACTAAAATGTAAAATTTCATTCTCTTAATCATAGTGATGATTATTAAAGACTTCTTTATTCTAGAAACTCCAATGTTTTTAGATTATTAAAGCGCGAAATTTGATTTTCCATTTACAAATAAATCCAATTTTGTCATGACTTTTATACAAACTAATAGAATACTACCGATACTCTTCATGAATTTCGTAAAGGGGGTTTTTTTTCCCTAATTTGAATGCTTACTTTTCATATGTCTATTTAGATCATACTGACGTTTGAACATGAATTCACACCCCTCAACCACACATGATATATTTCTACCCGAATTACAGTATCCGAAACCTGTAAGGTGCTCAATTTCGGTTACATTACGATTGATCTTGTCATCATTATTAAGCTTTCGAACTTTACGCGAACGTGGACGCTGTTACATTAAATTATATTATATTAAATTGTTTAGTAATTAAAACATTATTTTTATTATTTTATTCAAGACTAACCTCATGAATATTCTTAATATGATTATCCATAACTTTTTTGTATGTAAAAGACATCCCACATCCTGGAACATAGCAGTCAAATTGACGATCTTTTTGGTGTACTGCTCGAATATGTGCATAAACCGCCTTTTTCTAATGTTGAAAAATTGTTCACGGATTTTATTGTTCACATTGAAAATTATAATAATAATAATTTTTTTTTTTTTTTAACATACACTATAATAATGTTTTTCACAATCTTTCCAATCACATGGAAATAAAATACGATCGGGATTATGTGTTATCATATGTCTTCTAAGTGCTTTCATATCTTTCACTTTTTTGTTACATAATTCACAAATAGCTTCATGTTCATTTCGTATATGAGAATGAAGTTCGTTAATCTTTGGAAATTCTTGTTCACATCCTTGAAATGCACATCTCCATCTATTCTGATCTAAATTTAATTTTCATGGATTTTTTTTAAATACTTTTAATATTTGTGTATGTGTATAGGATAATATAATAATTATAAAGATATGGTTATAAAAAATTTACCAGAATGAACTCGCTTATGCATTCGTAGTTTGGTTGAGGATGAAAAACTTTTTTCACATCCTTCATTCTCACAAGGATAAGGCTTCTTTTTAGTATGTATGGTCATATGCTTTCTTAATAAATAATCCTGTGTAAATGTTGATCCACATTCTTCTACATGGCACTAATTTTTTTTTTTTAATTAATAGCTATCTCGATTATCATATTCGGAATTACTATTAAAAATGATAAAATCTTTGATAGTGAATAATTTTACCACCAAAACACGTCTCATTGAGACAGTCATTATTCAATGTCAAAGATCCAAATATACGTGGATATTCGATTATATACTTACTTTATATATTCTCTCTGTCTCGTGTATTTCTTTTCTATGCCTCTTTAGATGATGTTTTATTGAGAAGCTTGATTCACAGCCTTCTGTTTCACATTTGAATGGCTTTGGATCTTGCCCATGTACAACTGTGTGAATTTGTAAATGATCTAATCGTTTATAACTTTTTTCACAATTAGGAACCGGACATTTAAAAGGCCGCTATAATTTATTTTTTGATATATAAAAATTAATAACCTACTGGTCTTTTTTCATGAATAAAAATACATGTATTTGGTTACCAATTCTGTATGCGATATTTGATGTCTCTCCAACTTTGACCGAACTTTAAATGATTTGTTACATCCTTCATACGTGCATTTCCAAGGCTGTTCCGTGTCTCTGATAACTTCTCCATTGACAACTAAAACTTTGTCATCAATATTCATCATTCTCCATATGTTCTCATGTCAAAAATATTAAAAATTTTATTGTTGCATCTATTTTTGCATCGTTTGATAATCTTAATCATGATAAAAAAATTTTATCACGTGATAAATTATTATAATTGATCTGGATTGCCATATTTCTTTCCTTCTAAAGTCTCTCATGTCTACACCAAATCATATAGTTCAACTTACTCGTTTAGACGATCTAAGTAAAAATTGGTCAACAATCCATAGTCAATCTTGTAATTTATTCTCTTCCTTAGTTAATATTCTAACACAACGTCAAGCAACTTCAAATGTATTACATTCTTCACAATCAAAAGTATCTAGAATTATTACGAATACCACAATCGTCAGTACAAATATTTTAGATCAAATATTTCAACCTCAAACTCTTACTCGTGTTATTTACAAACAATCTCGAGAGATTGAAGAAATTCTTTCAAAAATTCATAAAATTCTTGAAGAATTTGAAACGATTGTAAAATCTATGAGAAAAATCTTACTACAAAATGATAAAATAGTTTCTGGTCCTTTAACTAATTTAAATTCAAAAAATTTTAAAACTCCTTCAACTTCATCTAATTTAACTTCTTCAAAACAATCTTTTAACAACAAAAAAAACAAAAATTCAAAATCTAAACAATCCTCAACAAAAGTTATTCATAATTTATATTTTGATCAACAAAATATAAATGGTGTAGCTGATATATCAATTTCTTTATCTAATCTTTATATAACTCGTATTGTTGATATGTATGAAAAAGAATTGATGTATAAAAGAAATTTAGTTTTGGGTGGTGCTTTGGTAATTGATCATTCAGAATATGAAAATAATGAAACTAATAATTTAGGCGGAATTGCGATTAAACCAGGAATTGATGGTGTAAAATTGATTGCTGAAAGGTGGGCAGCTCAACCTTATTTGGAATTTGAAATTGAAGAAGAAATGGTGGATAGAATAAACATTTGGAAAAAGGTTAAAGAGTTTGAGAAATTAAATAAATAATTATAATTATAATTATGTTATTAGGTAATTCAAACTTTGTAGATTAAAGAATTAAGCGATTTGTGTTTACTTTCAATGGTGCCGATTGGTCGAATATAGCAAATATAATAAAAAAAAAAAATTCAAAAAGTAAATTTAAAAAAAAAAATTCAAAAAAAAGTATAAAAAAAAAATTTAAATACGTAAATACTAGAACTTTTAAAATATGTTACGCATCATTTTTTTACCAATTGAAAAATGACGGGTTAAATTTTGACGTACTAAATTGATAAACAATTTTTTTGTAATAATTCTGAAGACCTTGGTATACCAAACTTGAAAAATAAAAATCTTTATGAATGTCAAAAGCTTCCAACTTACGATAGTTAAGAACGGTTTAATCCATATATTTAAATTAATTAATCAATAATATTCTGGCCAACCATAATATTTAAGAATAGGTAGCTCATATTCTTTTTTGAATTTTAGTAAAAATTAACGATGCAAATAATCAAACTAAAAATCTTAAGTGTTTTACATGTTTAGTATTTAGGCATAAACTTAATTGTCAAATGGTATATATTTTTTTCTAACACACAAGTACACATTTACGTCGAGGTTAGTAATATATAATATTTAATATTATCGATGATTACGACTTTGAGTGTGTACAGTATTACTTACAATAATAAATATTTTTATAGCTCTAATTAATCATTATAGTTTGTATATTTATAATTTAAAGAAAAATATATATATATTACTACTTAAAATGTATTATATATTTACAAAGATTATTGTAATTCTAATAATGTATCTATTAGTAATAGTTAAAAAATAATAAATATTATAATGCTATTCCTATTAATAAAAGGTTTGTTATCTGATTTTAAAAATATATATAATTTTTTTAAACTTAATTAAAAAAATTATCTAGTATAGAGTTAAAAATATCTTGTATGCTTTAAGTTTATAACATGTTTAAATTAGGGTGTAGCAACTTAGTGAAGTGGTCAAGTTGTCACCCCCAAGTAGCACATTTAGAGTTCAAATTCTGTTGTTGGTGAATCTTCAAATTTCTATTTGTATAATAGATATGATCTTTCTGGTTGGAGCTGTATTATGCACAGTGCTCATCAAAGTTAGGGCTTTGTCTTGTAATTTAGTATTCATCAATTTAACCAAATTGGAAGGACCCATAGGGTGTTTGTATAACACACAAGTTACATGAAGACATGTAAGCTGACAAAGAGCAGTGCAAATTCAGAATAAGTCCTTATGGCTAGATAATTCCTGGAAACTTCAGCAAGATCGATATCTATTTGGCAAGACCCAAGTGGAGAGGTAGCACAGTTTTAAGTGCCTGGATGAATTTTACAAAGGCTGGGTTGTTTAGAAGTAGTATAATTTGCCAGTAAAGATATAGAATTTATTTGACAAAGAATCCTCCTAAGCAGAGCGGTTTAGAAGCAGTGTAATCTGCTCACAAAGATATAGAATTTATCTAATAAAAAATTCACTGTGTGACTGATTAAGGGCTGTCAGGTCCACCAGTGAACTATTGCACAGTCTGAAGAAAACTAGATTAGCTGTTGAATAATAGGCAAAAAATGAAGAGCACTAGTCTGGGTATTCCCTTCCTTTACTATAATTAATTGTACTTTAAATTAGTTCCTTAATAGAAAATAAGGGGTGATTTGTCATGTAAAAATAGTTATATATAGATGTATGGATAGTTACTAATATATTATTGTGATAAAAATTGTAATGAAACCTATAATGTATACAGCAAAATCATAAATAAAAAAAATAAAATAAAATGTTTAAATAATTAAGTATTGGGTTTTTAGAAGTTTATATTTAAAAAAGGATGTTAGTTTATAGCAACCCGTCGCCATGAAGACCCTGTGATCGACCAATCAAAATTAATCATATGAGTCATGTGACAGTTAATTTGCAAAGAGCAAATCAGCAAATACATAACTCATGAGACTGATTTTGGTTGATCAATTACCAAAAATATCACAAAAAAAAAGAGTGAAATTTTTTTTTTAAAAAAAAAACATCATTACACAAATATTATATTCGATACCATTCACACTTTATTTATATATAAAAAAAAAAAAAAAGTCTTAATCTAAGAAAATACTTTGCCTAGCTCATGCACTCATAACAGCTTTTAACTCAACCGATTTTCTACAGAGACAAAATGAAGACCCATTTCCTCTAATATCAAATTCCAAGAACAAGACTCCAAGAATGATGACTCCAAAGAATGATGATTCCAAAAATGACAACTCTAAGAATAACAACTTCAAGAAAAGAAGCACCTAAAAAAAAAAGAAAAGTTAGTACCCATAACAAAAAAAACAAACTAGTAAAAAAAAAAAAACACTTAAATCAACAAAGGTCTTAACTTCTACTACTACTACAATGATTCCAAGAATGGCAAGAAGAATGACTTCAAGATCGATGACTCCAAGAAAAGAAGCACCTTTCCAAGAACAGTGAGAAGAATAACTCCAAGAAAAAAAGCACCTAAAAAAAGAGAGAAGTTAGTACCCAGAATAAAAAAAAATAGTAACAAAAAACATTTAAATCTACAAAGGTCTCAACTCCTACTACTACAACGATTTCAAGAATAGCGAAAAGAATGACTCCAAGATTAACAACTCTAAAAAAAGAAGTACCTAAAAAAGAGAAAAGTTAGTACCTGTAACAAAAAAAAAAAACTAGTAAAAAAAAATACTTAAACTAACAAAGATCTCAACTCCCACTACGATTCTAAGAACAATGACCAAAAAGACAACTCCAAAAATGATGACTCAAAAACGATGACTCCAAAAACGATGACTCCAAAAAAGAAGCATCTAAAAAAAGAGAAAAGTTAGTACTTGTAACAAAAAAACAATAGTAAAAAAAAAATACTTAAATCTACAAAGGTCTCAACTCTCACTATAACAATTCTAAGAACTGTGAGAAGAATGACTTCAAGATTGATGACTTCAAGATTGATGACTTCAAGAAAAGAAGCACCTAAAAAAAAGAGAGAAGTTAGTACCTGTAACAAAAAAAAAAACTAGAAAAAAAAAAAAACACTTAAACCAACGAAGATTTCGACTCCTACTACAATTCCAAGAATGACGACCAAGACAACGACTCTAAAAATAACAACTCCAAAAAAAGAAGAACTAAAACAAAGAGAGAAGTTAGTACCCATTGTAATATTAATAAATTTTTATTAACATTTTTCTTATAATTTTCCTTAAATTTTATTATATATTTTATATGTTTATTATATATTTTATCATTTTATTAGTTTATTTACATAGTTTATAACATATTTTATCTATTTTAGATGTTTTTACAATAGTTTATTACATAATTTATTAGTACACTTTTTAAAGAATTCCATTTAAAGCAATATTTGCTTTAATATTTAATTATTAGTTTGTTTAACATAACAGTATACAAAGCAAGGCTACACAAGTAACACAAAACATATAAGGTGCCCCAGGATGCCCCAGGACCTTTTAGAACGATGTATTAATAGTCATTTAGTTGTATTACTAATTTTAAAAATAATAGCTTTATTAGTTAGTTTATAGCGTTATTTTATATAACATTATTAGACAGTGTTATTAGATGGTGTTATTTCATGTCGTTATCATTTTTGTAACTATTTTTAGCCTTAGAATAGCATTATGACAACTAAAATAATAGTATATAGTATTATTGCAATGATTTGCAATAATTGATATTAGTAATATAATGATTTACGACATTATTTCCTAGCATTATTATATGTCATTATTATATGGAATTATCGAAAGATATATAAACCCTGCCTTTTCCCCAAGGCAGAGAGACATTAATGTATGCTCCCAATTAATTCTTTGAATATTTACTTCGCTCCTGGGTATATTTGACCCTTCTCTTTGACTATTTTCTTGTATTAAAAGCCTTATTATTATATAATAAACTGTAATTTTATATTGACTATATAGTGGGTTTATAATATTTTTAATGTGTTTTTTATAGTAAAATTATTGTTTTTTTATTAATATTTTTGAGTAAACCTTGTTATTTTTGTCTTTTTGTTTAGTTATTTTATAGTATTTTTGTTTTATTTTAGGCTTTTCTTTAGTTTTTCTTGTTTAAAACATTCTTTAACCACTCTTATACATTAAGTCAAGTAATATATTTGTTTGACTTAACTGGCGATGACATATTTTATTATTATTATATTTAATATTTAGTTAAGCCAAACAAGCATATTACAGCATAAAGAATAAGATTCTTAAAAGAGGTTCTTCCAAAGAACTGGATAAAGATGATAGCTGAAACATTAATTGTACAGTAACTACTAATTCTGTTAGAGTTAAGGTGACATCCAGAGCAAGGATAGCATTAAATAAGTTGAAGAGAGTAGAGTTGGTTATGTGTGGGATTAATATTGGTTTTTCAGTGTGTGATTGAAATCAAGTTATTTGGTAGATGTTTATGGATTTTGCTAATAATAATATCATTATTGTTATAACTAAGTCAGCTGTTAGATTTTTTGAATATATGTGTATTGTATGCAAAAAGATTAATTTCTAGTTGTTGATATTAGGGTGCCAGAGTACAATGGTAGCTATAGAATATTACTTTATTCTCGAGGTATGTAAACCAGTTTGGTTGTTTGCCTTTAGGCAAGTGAAATAATCTTGATGAGAGATGTTTCTATTCTAAAAGAGTAGTATTGTCTGCTGAGCAGAGTTGCTCAATATAAAGTAAGTTAAGTCGTCTAAGCTGTTTTTTGATAAGTAAGTATTTGGAATATTGTTAAAGAATTAACTTCAAAGGTTGTAATTTGTGTTGAATAGTGTAGAGCCATGAGATTTTAATATTTGCTGTAAAAGTAATATCTAGGTGATTAAGAAGCTTGATAATATGAAAGTTAAGTATATGTTTGTTTGGCCCATCTATAGTGAGTTGTGAATATTGAAGTATACTAATAGTTGACTATAAATTATTTT